ACCATTGGGGATGCCCTGTGGTCTTGATGGAATGTATCCACCAGCAGGACCGTTAGCATCTAATATCCTCTGTCCTGATGCATGTGCCCCTCTTTCCTATATGGATTGTAGATGCATGTGTCACTTCATACCAAAAGTGCTTTTGGTATTTAGAAGTAAAGAAATGAGGTGATGAAGGAGCACACAAGCGTTCACCAAGAGATGGTGTGGAGAATGGGCGTTATTGGCTTATGAAGAAGAAACTTTCCATGGAATGGTGAAGATTGGAAGCTAATTTTATATAGCCCCTATAGTCAAAGCGAACCTGAGTACACGATATAATAAATTAGTTGTACTATCTAGTAGGACAGAGGCTAGAGCTAGAAATGCATAGTTTGCACATTTTAATTCAATATGAATGCGAACCAATATTGTCGAATGCCATGCAAAATGGATAGTTTGAATTCTAATTTGCATTAAAATATTTATTCATCAATTTAACGCGAATAAAATTTTAGTACCGAGTTCTTAATCAAAGTAGACTAATAATGTCAAAATGCACTTTGGATAATCGTCCATATCAAAATGAGCTAAAAGGGCCTAAAATCATAGGAGATTTTGACTGCAATGCCAGATCCAAGTGCGCGCGAAGTTCGTGAGCATTATATTCTAGTGGATGAGGCCTCCTCCTCTACACCGTTGGCACATGTGGATTTCAACGCTCCCTAGAAGTGACAGTGGTAGATGATGTCCCTATCTCAGCGGGGTACCTTTGCGACCGATTGCACTAATAAGCCACTGGTCTTTGGGCTTTGGCGATGATACGCCCCCGCACATGGGTGTTGTGCCTTTGTTAATAAGTTGTGCTCAACTATGTAAACATTGTCCACATGTTATCAAGCACATATATCAAGCAAATAAAATAAGGCGTGACAATAGTGGTGCTAAATTAATATCTCACTCGACTGACCTCTAAGTTCATTATGTTCCTTAATATATCGTTCTATCGTTGTCCTCTGTCGTCCCTACTCACTTAGCATGGAATTCATTTCTTCACCCACCTATCCTTCTTGTTCCTTGAAGACATCTTGTCGTCTAGACCTTTAAATAATCCAGAGTCCCTTCTTTTCTACTCCTACAACAATGTAGCTAGACTTCACAACATCAATTACTCTTACTAGATAATCCAATAATCCAAAGAGTAGCGTAAGGCAACAAAGATGAACGGCTTTGAGTGTGGAAGGCATCAGGAGAGTATGCAAGGAACTTGTTACTGAATGCGCACCTACTGTTGCTGGTCAGGCAACGGGTCCTGCAGCTGCGACAGAGCAAAGGCCCAGGAGGACTCCAAGGCAGCGAAAGGCCCAACTCGATGCTTGCTGCCCTGGATTTTCTCATAAATAAATGTACGAAATAAATCCAATTTTAATTTATAAGAAAAAATTCCATTTTTTTGGATTTTTACTCCTCACGCCGAGGATTACGTCCTGGGACCTGGGTCATTAGATAAGAATCCAAAGATAAAGGGAGAAACAAAGAATATCACTTGCGAGGAGTGGGTCTCCGGGTGAGCGCCTGCGTGCACGTGAGGGCGTGAGGCGTAGCCTGAGGGAACCATTATAATGCAAAAACAGAATTGCCTTCTACTGAAGCTATCCTCCGCCCATATCTGCTTCTTCTCCTTACTTCTTCCCCAATCCTCCTCCAATTCATCCCCAATCTATCCCAGTTGCTATCAGAACTGTGACTGTTTCATGGAGCACGTGAATGCACTGACGTAGTTGATAGTTCTCGTATCGTTGGACGACGGGGAGAAAATGCTAGTCAATCTTATTGCTGAGTGGGTGCGATCTCCATTGATCCTTGAGTCGAATAGCTCTGTGGTGATATCCCATCTAACCACAGTTCAAGACATCAATAGATCCCAAAACATGTACATCTTATCTTATCCAAAGTTCAGGCCTGCGCTTCTTTACTTCTGGTTTCTGGAATTAAATTTTAGAAAGATTAGGAGTTACCCCAATTAATTAGCAAAACAACCAGCGCACTGTGCTGTATGGCGAGACAGTGCTCCTTCTCATGAATGTAGGAGCTCATTGCAAGTAATTTGTAACTTTTTTCAATGGTGGGTACAAAAATGCAGTCGCTAGTGCAGTTTGGTTGAGGGGCCCATGACCACGAACCGTTAGTGAACATCATTTGTAGCAACACTCCATATAACATGACCGCTAGCGGGAATACAAATATTTTTATTATTGGCGGTTCACTTAGCTACCATCAATCGAGAATGACATAATTACACCAATAAAACACCTATTGTTGGGTCTAAACATCTTTTCGTTGTTGATCGCACACCACAATGCCAAGTTCGTTCTAACAACATAGACAGTTATACTCTCCCAGTTTCAAAAAACAAAGTCACCTAGGGGTTTGTGCCAGTTAAATTTTCTTAAATTTAATTAGATTTATAGAAAATATAAGAAAAACATTTGTATCTCTAAATAAACTTATTATGAAAATATATTCAACAAATAATGTAATGATATTTATTATGCGCCCTAAATATTAATAATCTCTTGTATATATTTGATTAAAGTTGAAATATTTTACTTTTTGGAAGTGAGAATGACGGTCTTTGCGGGATGGAATGAGTATCTTTTAGTAAGTTTTGCTCGACTATGTATGTAATATAATATAAATATTCTGACCATTCTGCACAACGGATTGAGACATGATAATGATGTAACTTCTCTAAATATGTCTCTTGACTGATCTTTAAAGTCCATTTTGCTCTGTAATTAATTGTACTATCCTCTGCCTTCTCACTTAACATGGGTCGGAATTTATTTCTTCACCCACTAGCCACTTCTCAGCTATCCGTGGTGGCATATCGATGATCTCTTGCCGTATGGGCCTTTAAATAATCCAGACTCCATTGCTTTTTACAGCCTTGGCATCATATCGATCGGTTGCTCTTATTTGCTCATTTCATTGTTTTTCAATGAACAGTCCAAAAAAAAGAATAGTTCGTGAGAAAACAAAGATGAACAACTTTAAGAGTGGAAGCCATCAGGAGAATATGCACAGGAATGGTAACTTGTTTCACTGCCGGGTGTGGTGATCTATCTGATAGTTCCTAGGTCGTTGGACCTTGGAACTACAGGGTCGATACGCTCAGATGCAGAACACGCAGCGCCTGTGCAGACAGTGATGAGGCTGTGCAGCAGTGGAGTGCTAATTTGCATGAAGATGGAGACATGAGAGTATGTAACTAGTGGGCTGTGAGGCACATCGCTTTTTATATGATATATGCAGTTCATATGTGATATATTCCTATATTTTTAGTATATATTATACTCCATATGATATATACTAATCTTCTTTAACAACATATAAAAGTCGTTGTACCTTCATTAGCACATATACTGCTTCGAAAAAAGGAATTCTTTTTAGATAAGGGAAAAACGTTTCCGACCTCTGCAAGCGCACATACACAGCCAAGTTCTTGTAAAAATTTCAGCTAATTGCTGTAACAAAGGGAACGAGAACACAAGTAGATTAAAGTGATTATAAGCAAATTCTATTATTGCTCACCCATCCACTCTTGGTGAAAAAGTCCAATGCAACTTCTAGTGCTCAACTCACTAGTATGATGGTCTCCTTTGTATCCTCACGCTGCAACAATGCCAAAAAAAAACATCCATTATAGTCCTTTGAAGGTAACCTGCATAAAAGAAATAAATTATTTTCTTTTTAAAAAACAACATCATTTTGTGTAAACCAAATAGCCCAGGAAAGAGCGTTGATACCCACAGTGGCGGGCCTAGGATTTTGGGGCTGGGTATTCAAAATGTGTAATTGTCATACCAAAATTTTTTCCACAGCCAAAAGGCTAATGTTTGTAATGCTGCATAGTTAAAATTGCACAATATATGTAGGAAATATATAACACAAAATTGAGCATGATTTCATATATTCAAGAATTTAAGCATAAATTGAAATTGTTGTTTGACATAAAAAGGTACCAATAGTTAAACATAACAAAGTGGCAACATATAGAATATTAATCTAATGGTCATATAGAAGATATGAAACAACAAAATGATGATAAAGCTTACAAATTAAATCAGGAGACTAAGTAATTTATGGACAACTCAAGCTAAGGCGCAAGGCGATTCACAAATTGCTATACCTATCCCTAACAAATTGAATCTGAATTTAAACTTACAGACCTAGAGAAGCATAGAACTAGAGGCTCGGCCTGATGTACTCATGCCTTATCTGCTGACTAATGCTGTATAGGTGCTCCGATTTGCTGTATTTTTGTTTTTTCAATACACAGACTTACATATACATTATATTTATGATATTTTTTTGTCAAAAAATTTGGGTATTCAATTGAATACTAGCAGGCCCGCCCCTAGATACCCACTAAGATCAGCTTTCGTTCAATATCCCTAATGCAAGTTAACTAATTCCCGAGCATACAAGATATTGACCTATAGTGGTTAACCTAGTAGCTATGTAAATTATACGCCATATAATCTTAGCATGTTGGTAATCAAAGAAAAAGTGTTTAATTGTTTCATTGCAATTACCGAAAAATAAGAAAAATGGAAAAGGGAAGTTTGCAAGGCAAGCCCATGCCCAGCCAACCAGCACGAGCTGGGCTGCTCCGATCCGCAGGCCCGTTACCGCGGTGGGCCTATAGGCTGGCCGATCTCCTTGCTGGTGGAGTCGACCGACCGAGCTAGATCTCCACGACTCACCTCCCACCCCCACCGTTTTGCCTTCCTCTCGCGTGCCTTCATTCCCGGCGTCGACCTCTTCGTAGGGCCCTTCGCCGCCGGCAACGAGCACCCACCCACCAGGTACGCACTTCCCTTCCACTCCCGCAGTGCCGAACCGACCACCTCAAACCCTCTGTAAGCTATTTCCGTCCGGATCTGACCCCAGTTACACGCCTGTGTTCCGCCCACGCAGGATCCAGATCGTGCTACGACGGCTCCTGTCCATCCACTATGGTAAGATCCGCCCCTCTCCCCCGTGATCCTATGATCTGTGCCCTTGTGTTTTGCGCCGGGTGCGCTGCTCATGCGGGTTCCTGTAGATGGCGGTCACGATCTAGCACTGCACTGGATCTCGTTTGAAATCTGAAGCTTTTTTCTGTGCGCTTTTGTAGATTAATTTCGTGCTCTTGATCAGCCGGCAGGGCAAGGTGAGGCTCACCAAGTGGTATTCTCCGTACACCCAGAAGGAGAGGACCAAGGTCAGTATCCCACACTGCTCTGTGCGATAACTCGTGTAATTCAGTCCTGGTTGCTCTGTGTTCATCACTGGCAGTGGTGCTAATTTCTGCAAGAGTTATGGTTGCTCTGTGTTCATCACTGGCAGTGGGTGCTAATTTCTGCAAGAGTTATGGTTGCTCTGTGTTCATCACTGGCAATGGGTGCTAATTTCTGCAAGAGTTATCGTTACTCTGTGTGTATCACTGGCAGTGGGTGTTAATTTCTGAAAGAGTTAAGACTATGCATGCCAATCTGTGTCAGGACTTTGCAGCCATGACTTGTTCCAACAAATCAATATTTAGCATTAGAAGTGAATGGATAGTGGCCGTTTTGTAATAAGTTTGATGTACAGTATGCGTGTCCGTTGCCAACTTCTAGAGCTATATCTTGATCCAGCACCCGTGTTTCCGTACAGACTCTGATGTATGTTTTTTGTTATGTAAACTTGAATATGTATTCATTCATGTTGTTTTTTCTCTTGTTGTGTTTGGTAATTTATGGTTTTGTGATATCATATATCTGCTACCACTAGTATTATAGAGCAGCAGGCAGTGAGAAGTATTATCTTAAATTCAATCATCTGAACAAATTCCCATTTCTCCTACTCGTTGCTCCCTTATTTCTTCCTCTAACGTGTTGTTGGGTAACAAGTGAGTAGGACCCCGTGTATTTTCTCATCAGTTTGATGAATTCATTCATATAGGACTTCCCCTATTACACAGACTGTTGGAAGGGTTCTGCTGTCTTCCATCAAATATTCTGCTTTTTACCGGGTACTCGGTTTCAAGTACCCATGGATTTTTTTTCTTTTTACTATTTTACTGGCTTCGTATAATTCCGAAAAAACAAGTTTTCTAGAGGTCATTAAATCTTTTCTTTGTGAGGTGTATTGTTGTATATTAAATTTGCTACTCATGTTCAAAAGATTATTCGCGAACTCAGTGGACTCATTCTTACACGAGGGCCCAAACTCTGCAACTTTGTTGAGTGGAGAGGTTACAAGGTCATATACCGGAGGTATGCTTCAGCAGTGCTGTTGAGTGGTACTGTTTGTTTCATAGCCTCATAGGTTATGTTGCTTTTGTAATATTTGCTTGCTAACTATTGATGTGTCTTTATAACTATATATTGTGGTTAGGTATGCCAGCCTGTATTTCTGCATGTGCATTGATGCTGATGACAATGAGCTTGAAGTCCTTGAAATCATCCATCATTTCGTTGAGATACTGGACCGCTATTTTGGCAGTGTGAGTGTTTTAGTATTCAATTTCATAATTATGATTAAAGATTCATGCTTTCATGTCATCATTTTGACAGTTTTCTCTACTAATTCTTTAGGTATGTGAACTGGATTTGATATTCAATTTCCATAAGGTAACCTCTAATGCTTATCAACACTGAGGACCTGGGATTGGACTTAGTCTTTGGCAACTTTGTGCTATCTTCTGATCACGCCTATGGGTGCGTAGTCATATTCATCAGTCCGAGTTTTCCATTTATGCAGGCCTACTACATACTGGATGAGATTCTCATCGCTGGTGAACTTCAAGAATCTAGCAAGAAAAATGTTGCAAGACTTATTGCTGCACAGGCATGCAATCCTCACATTTGGCTAACTTATCTTTTTGTATTTGCTTGAAAATTCAATATTTTTGACAATTACTCAGGACTTTCAGTGTGTCGCATGAGATTTTGCTTGCTTGTGCCTTGCTGTGGTTTAATTCTTTTACCCTGTGATTCAGTAGGGGATTCTTAAATAGCATTCTAACACCTTTGCTGTGCTTACTGACTTCCTATTTTTTGTTTCCTATTGAAGTAAAACTTTGCATCGATTAAGGCACAAAACCTGCTTCATTCCCTATATCACCCACATATCCAGTACTCTGGATAGAATGCTGTACTTTATGAATTAACCGCTGTTAGAAGGGCATGATCTTTTTATCCTAACAAACTTCTTTCTGAAATATGAATTGTTCAGGATTCGTTAGTCGAGGCTGCTAAAGAGGAAGCCAGCTCCATAAGTAACATCATTGCTCAGGCTACAAAATAAAGTTCTTCACGACTCTAGTGCCTGCCCCTTTGCTCTATCTTCTCATTGTTATTATACAAGCAACTGTAATGAACTGGACTGACAGTCCATTTGATCTGCTCATGTTTTCTATGGAATACGGATTTGAAGACTCCAGGTCATTTAGAATGAGCGTGATGTGTAACTACATTGTATGTGTTCCGTTGCAAGTAAAGTCGCGATTTTCAGGATTTGCTCAGGCATAGTTGTAAATTCCTGATGTTATAAGTGCATATTTTTTCTCAACCTCATTGATTGTTTATTGTGTTCTCCAATGTCTGAAAACCACTGCAAGTTGTCTGTGTTGTGATGCTTTATTCTCCAAATTCGTGCTTGTAGTGCCTGTGTTAGGGTTGAAATTTGGGTGGCTATACTATATTTGTAAGCTGCTGTGCTTGCAAACAGATTGGTGCTGGCTTTTCACTGTAGTGAATTCTGGTGGTCTACGCCTGGTGACATAAAATAGACTTTATTTCTCACCAATATCTCCCCTACGCGGAGTACTATCTTTCCCGTACCCGGAGTAATGCCATAGATGTCTTCACCCATATGTGTGTTCTCCCTTGTATATGTTGGAGCAGTTCTTACAAACCTTGGTGAATCATTCTATTCTTTTCTCCCCAACTTTTCTTACTACTAGGCTCTACACCATCGAAAGATGGGTACTTCTTTCTTTAAGATGCTGGGCTTAGCAATGAGCTACTCCTATTAGCAATGGTTAAAGAGGAAATATTATAGGTTGAGAATGGAGGGCACCGGGAGGACCAACACTGTAGCTTGTGTGTAGGAGCACCGCTCGTTGAGCACGATCAGCGCGAGTGGAGAAGCTGTTTCCGGCTCACTGCAATCCAGAGCCACCATGATTCAGAGCTTTTCGATAAGGAAGATGTGTCGCAGTGAGAATGCATGGAATGCGATGTTCAATGCTTTTAATTTGCATGAGAATGGGTGGAGAACTGGAGATGCTGTAAACGGGGTCAGGAACCAAAAAACAAGAAGTACATTCAGTCATAGTTACAACTCATTTTATTCATAAAATAGTTTCAGCTATCCAGAGGTTAACTTCATTGAGCAATGTTTTGACTAGTTTTCATGTTCAGTTCCAACCACATTTTGGAGTACCAAATTCTCCGAGACACAATTTCCCATGCAGTACACCTAAACATATTATTTTAGAGTTTGTTTGAGATCAATTACTGCTAATTCTTTCTGAGAAAAATTAAAAAGTTTCAAAAGCCAACATCTGTTATTTGGATTTCAACAAGCAAAACATCAGAACAGTAATCTATATATAGTACACCGGGCTCCACAACTCAGCTTTCCTCTGTCTAGATATACATACATCTCGTGTTGATCCTTTTTGGGTTGTAATATATATCACACATGTGCCTGATCAAAACTTCACATCTTACATGATAATATAAGAAAGTGATGTATTTGGTCAAGGGAATTGCAGAACAATTTTGTAATGGAAGGCATCAGGATAACTTCCATAAGATAGGTAATCTATGTATGCATCCCCAGTTCCCGTGGGAACCCCACCGGCGGCTCTCTCCTGCCCGGCGTCCTCCTCTTCGGTGGCAGTTGCGTGGCCGACGCCTTCCCACTTTGTGCCGGACGTGGAACAGGATCTGGCAGGCGGCCACCGATCCAGGCATCCAGCTCGGTGCGAGTGCCAGATGCAGACCAGGAAGGCGGCCACCGATCCAGCTCCAGCCCAGTCCCAGACGCGGCACAGTTTCAAGCGGGCGATCACCGTTCAGGCGACTGCCATGTCAAGACGCAAAAGGGTGTGGCGGACTCCAGCCCGATGCCGAACGCGGTACAGTTTCAGGCTGGAGAGCATCGTTCAGGCGACTTGTGTTCTTCACATCAAGGTTCTCCTGTTAGTTTTTTTTTATTTCTAATCTGCAGGTCGATCTTAGTTTGTAGGAGGATTTTCGTTGTACCACAGCGTGTACGGATCTTCCAACAACGTCTTCATTTCAGTTTCAGTTCGGCGAGGAGCTACAGTTTGGCTTGTCTGCCGAGAATTCTCCAAATTTCATCAAAGGAAGTCATCATGCATCTCTTGTTTACCCATCGCTTGGCCTTTCATCTGCAGTGTCAGACGGTGTACAGTTAACATCGTTTGAAGACACTGGTGGTGCAAGTCCGGCTGTCGAGACCGATCAACAGTTGGAGATTGAGCATCAGCAGTCCTCACCTTTTGTTTCTATGCCGAACGAAAATGTTTAGAGGAAAAGGCGTCTCGCTCTAGCTTTTAGGCCTTCTGATGATACTGCAAGTTTGGCACCTGAAAGGGCCAACTTGTGTCAAGGGTCTTGTAATAGACCGACAGAGGCCATCTTCTCAGGATCCACTTCGATGAGTGCTAATCAGGTCTCGTCTTCACCGATCAGTACAGGGAAAAATTCCTCAACCTCATTGAATGTTTGTTGTGTTCTCCAATGTCTGAAAACCACTGCAAGTTGTTAGTGCTGTGATGCTTTGTTCTCCTAATTTGCGCTTGTAGCGCCTGGGATAGGTAGGGTTGAAACTTGGGTGGCTATATTTATTTAGTGCAGGCTTTTTACTGTGGTGAATTCAATATGTGCACGGTTGAATAACTCCCCACTAATTTCAGTCTGCTCTCCGTCTGGCCAGGCATTATTCTGGTGTTGTGGGTATTTTCTGTGTGTTTAATATGTGCCTATGTAAGGTTTTCAGGCCTGTTTTTCCTTATAAACTAGGCCAATTCTATTAATTAAAAGTCAGAGCTCCTGTCATTACTTAAAAAAAAACAGGCATTCTTATTTCTCACCAATATCTCACCTACACGGAGTACCATCTTTCCCGTAGTCTGCATCCTTATATATGTTGGAGCAAAAACATGAGATTGAATCATTCTCTTCTTTTCTTCCCTTGAACTTTTCTTACACTGCTAGGCTCAAGATTGGCAGTTCTGCCAGGTTTAGCAATGAGCCAATGAGGCACTCCTATTAACAATGGTTAAAAAGGAAATGTTATAGGTTGAGAATGGAGGGCATTGGGAGAACCAACCCTGTTGGGCATTGGGAAAACCAAACCCCATAGCCTGTAGGTAGGAGCACTAGACGTCCAGAGGTAGAGTCGCTGTTCTGGCCCACTGCGATTCAGAGCCGCCGTCAGCTGTTCAGAGACACAGGAGAAAGGTTGGTGCACACGAATTTTGGACAACTTGAAATCAGTGGCGGACAAGGCATGCCCGGGGCTCTCTTGACTGTAATTCTCTGGAAATGCTAGTTCGTCTGTCTCCCTTCCTTTTTTTCCCCACATCAGAATCTGCCCTGGTTCACGTTGCCAATCCTGTACGACGTAAAACCGATGGTGTAAGCTACATCAGGCTATGTGTAATGTGGTACAAGAAGGCGCAATTCTATGTCATTTTTACTGATTATGTTCTCTGGTGATGAAAAATGATCAGAAGTTACATGCACGCACGGAAACATTTTTATGTCAGTTTTTGTAAGAAGACTACGCAGTACGCCATTTGAACAGTTATGTGGATGTACATCATTGTTTTTTTTTATAATGATGTAAATAATTGTTGATTCCTGTGATGTATGACTACAAGCAACTGCACTGATTTTTTATTGTAATTTTGCTCGCTCAATTTGGTCTATCATAAAGAGGGCCTCACGGATGTATGTTTCAACCTCACAGCATATCATACATGTTAGCATTTAGTTATGGGGAATGAAAAAAGACCTCAAACTGCTAGTCCTGTTAGCATTAGTTGTCACACCACCTTAGATTTCAACCGGTGCCTTCACTACAATTGCAACGATTTCTGTTTTTGTCCATAGATTAGATACCCTGCTTCACTATTTTTTCCCTTCTGGCCTGTAGTTTACTCTCGTATCGGCTTGAGTCGGCAACACACTCTGTAGTCTTGCACAATAAGAGCGATGGAAACGAAAGAAGCGAAGAGGACCAACACGTTTAGCAGGAGCACAACGGTGCATAATCAGCAATAGATACATAGTCGAGTTGCAAAAGGGAACGACAATGACAATGATCTGTTATTCTTGTGTTGAGCACGAAAAATCATATTAAAATCCCTAACAATTATGATGAAGTTTAGCCTTAATAGGATTCTGTGACTGATTGGCTCCGTAACCTCTCTGTTTTATTTCCTTCCTCATGCTTTTGAAATAACAACCATCAAGGAGCATCCATGAACCCATGATCCAGCCACCTTTATTGCTCTCTGCAAGTTCAATCCTTTTCGTTAAGAAAGATGTGTTGTAGTGAGAATGCATGAAAATTGGTGGAGGTGCAGTAAATGGGCCCAGGAACACAAAAAAACAAGATGTACATTCAGATCACAGTTACAACTCATTTTATTCATAAAATACTTTCAGCCATCCAGAAATTAACTCATGCATTAAGCAATGTTGTGAGTAATTTTCATATTAAGATCAAACCACATTTTGGAGGACCAAATACTCCGAGACACAAGTTCCCATGTAGTACACGTAAAGATATTTTTTTAGGAGTTTGTTTGAGATCAATTACTGCTAAATGTTTCTGAGAAAGATTAAAAAAAT